AATGGAGGGAGCAGCAGTGGTGGCTGCTTGTTGGAGATTCGCGAGAACGTCTGCAGCCAGTGCGCGTGTGGGGTCGTCCGGAGGGATCTCTCCTTCCTCGCGACCGCCATCGGTGGCCTTGCTGGGTGAGTTCTCTTCTCCCAGTGCTGCGAAGCGGTTGCTGGGGTCACCCCCACCACTGTTGGAGCTGCCACCTCCATTGCTGGAGCTGCCACCCTTCCCAGTTCCGTTGCGGGCGGCGCCAGCGTAGTCTTTAGAGCTGGGAGAAGCGTCACCGGTGGCAAGCCGCTGGGGCTGTTTACCGTTGGTGGACGGTTTCTTGACAGACTGCTGTGTAGACTGCAGCGGAGGACTGGGTTTGGGGTTGTGCGAGGGGGTCTTAAGAGCGCCGTTACCGGCGTCCGTGCCTGCCTGCGAGTTCGAGCCGGCTTTGTTGTCTCTCTTGTTCTTGTTGCCCATGTTGAAAAATGGAACAACAGGAACAGACACGCAGAAACATCTCTTCGTCGACGCCAATATGAATACCCTCAACTCAGTGTGAGCTGAGGTCCCAAAATGGCGAGGTGGTATATGCCTACCACCGAAGGCTGGCTGATTTTCCTCTGGTGCAATGTGACGAGGAATGTCAAGCGGTGGTTGAGCGTACTCAGCCAAGGCCAGGGTAAGGTTGCGAGTGGGCGCCGGCTGAGACCCTTCCTGGGTTCTCGGTACCAACCATAAAGATCCATCCCGACTCAGGTCGGGGTGAATAACCCACAAAGTAAAGATCCAGAGCAAAGCGATGAATCATCGTCTGTCGGATGTTTTTCACTCCCTTTGTATGTGCGTGTGTAAGTATAAGAAGATACGAATATCCTGGCCTCCACACCCCACCTTTCTCCTGCGGTGCGTGCTGAATTTTATTTTTATCGCTAGAAGGGTCCAGTCGTCACTTTCCCTCGTCAACGGTGCTAACGTCGAAGTTTGGTACTCACGAGCGTTTTAGCTATGTTTCGCTTTCACCCGCAAATTTCGTAAATTTTTCACCCCATGGGGACTCGAACCCACGACCTTTGAAACTAGCGGACTACGAGGATACCACTAGACCACCGGGGCGACCTGTCACATGCATGCAAACCGATGAATCAGCCAATCGCGGAGACGTACAACAGCAGTGAAAACATTACAATCGGCGGTCGGCTGGTGTCCTCTGAAATGACATGCGGCCTGCTTTGCCAGGGCCGTCGGAAGACGCTGCGGTGCTTTCGGTCGACCAGATGAGGCCGCTGCTCTGACGACGAGTAAACCCTCAGCCAGTTGCTTCAAGTACAAGAGCTTCCCCGCACAATAATTCCGGAATTGTGGTGAATGGCTTGTTCTTGTTCTATGTGTAGACTAGTCTAGGTTCCCCGCGGAGTTTCGGGAGGTGGTATGCATGCGTTGTTGCTTGCAAATTTATATTTTTTTCCGCCTAGACTGGGTGAGTACGTAAGTATATCGGCTATTTCGGCGGTATGGTCCCTCTCCCGAGGGCTCCGCGAACTTCGGTCGACCACCCCGATTGTAACACACATCGCTCGGAAGCGACAAAATACTACCATGGTACAACAACAGTTGTGTTTGATCCATGCAGCTGGGTTTCGAGAATGCGGCGCGTTTACGTTTGGATCGGAAATCCATGCCGAAACGCCACGTGAACTCGGGACATCTGCGTACTACAGCCCAGCCAGAGCAGTACGGGCGAGCTGTACAACCGTACAGAGCTGACCGTACATCCCCCCTCGCAACAAATCACGATTCAGTGCTGCACGGCTGAAAAAAAAAAAGTGTGAGAAAAAAGGTTCCAACTGGAAAGCAGCCCCCTGTTGAAACCCCTCTGATCAGGCGGCTCGCGGTGCAACAGACCTCCACACCCAGCACCGACTCTAGAGGGCGAACCAGAGGCTAAACTGCCGAGACAACACGAGAGGTGCAAGGGCACAGCAGGGTATGTTTTATATGCCCAGATACACATGGTAGGGTGAGAAATTTAGACTTTAGCTAGAGCGTACCACACTGCGGCAGATCCAAAATCCGCGAGGAAGCTTCACACGCGAGCCGACCTCTGCGCAAGGTTGACGTCTTACAGCCTAATTATGCTGCCGACATATATCTAGGTCTCATTGCCACCTAATGCAAAAGGTATGAGGCAATTCAGTGCGGTAGAAAATATGCATGGTGTGTTCAAAATTCAAATTTCAGGAGAGCCCACCCGGGGGGTTTTGAACGCACGCTCTTGCATGTTGCGCATGTACATCCACTGGATACACGATCCCCATCCAGAGAAACTATGGAAATGCCCGATACAGTCCGGCCGCCACAACAATGTATATAAAATATGGACTTCGAGAGGGCAAGTACGTCTGTCTTGAAGTTTAAATTAGACTCGATGCTTTGCCATGGTACGAGTCAAAAATGACCCGGGGCGCTCAGCTACGTACGTACACTCCAGACCGTGCATATACTATACACCAGTAGATTGAAACGCCGCAGAAATGTCGAGTCGGATATATATAGTACGTAGATCGACAGCTTTCAGTCCGTCATGCTCTAAGGAACATAAGCATGCCCATACAGAGGATCATATGTTATTCATGGCTGTCAAGAGACAACGACGCGCGCCCAGACAGCAGGGCGAGGCGAGGAGGGAGGCACAGGCCCGTAAAGCTCGTGCGATTGCCGAAGACGAATGGCGAAAAGCAGAGCCCACGGGGAATCACCCCGTTGACCCTCGGCGTAGGAGTTACGGCGGGAACCCAAGACAAGCCGGTTCTCAGCCTGGAAAGCGGAAGGGAGACTTTCTGCCCCAGCGGTGCTATCTGTATGCCAACCAACAAGCAAGAAGCGAAGAAAGGCGTGCGAGCGTATGGAACGCCGAAGGGTTACAGACCACCCTGGCACCGAGTGTAGCAAATGCCTCGAAAGTGTAGTGCACTCGGACGACGATAAGCTATGTTCGGCATGCCACAGGTCTCCGAATGACGACGGTTCCAAGCACCTCCGCCCGGACCGGTTAGGGCGAGCAGTAGACTTTGTGGCCGCGTGGACACAGGGAGAGGAAACCCTCACTCCATCTCTCGTGCGAGACTTTAGGCCCAGCAATGACTGCCTCTGCGCACGCTCAAACTGATTCCTAGCTTTTTTCGCCGAGGAAGAAAGGAAGGCAGAGTCTCGCGTTTGCGGTACTTGTGGGTACCGGAAATCGGGCAAGAGCATCGTAAGGTGGTACCCCNAAAACCCTCCCTCCAGCTCTCGTGCGAGACTTTAGGCCCAGCAATGACTGCCTCTGCGCACGCCCAGACTGCTTCCTAGTTTTTTTCGCCGAGGAAGAAAGGAAGGCAGAGTCTCGCGTTTGCGGTACTTGTGGGTACCGGAAATCGGGCAAGAGCATCGTAAGGTGGTACCCCATGGATGCTGCATATGACGATGTCGCGGAGGGGAGCGCAGCGTTGAGCGATGGCCATTGACGGTGCGGCCGCTGCAATCAGAAACGGTTGGACGGCATGAAGAGAGACGAGAAACAGCCAGAGCACCCAACGAACAATGTGCATGGATCGGGGGGTGGGGCGCCGGCGCCTCCAGATCCGTTGGACAGGGTGCACGCTATGGTGGAAGAAGTCGTCCGTCGAGGTGAGATCCTGTACTGGCAGGACGTCGCCGATTGGGTAACAGCGGAACGCGCGAAGCTTGGCATGGAGGAGTTACAAGGGGAATACCCAAGAAAAATCGCCCGGGCCATATCGGCAAGCATCGAGGAGTTCGCGACTTCACGCTTGGTCAGTTACGAGCCAGCGCATGGAGACGCACGCGAGCGAGTACTTTTCCTCTTCCCAAACACCCTTGGGGACGAGCATCTCGTTGACTTAATGCTGCGTGCTCCGCCGCAATGCACCCGTACAGCCACCATCCAACCAGCTAGCGAATAAGGGCGGGTCTCTGAAGTCGATTCTGGAGGAAGTCGAGAAGGACACGGAGGACGCAGACGCAAGGATGTCCGTCGTGCGGGCAGCTGGTACAATTGTTCGAGCCGACGTGGAGAGTGATCCTGCCCTGAACAACACCTCCGGGACGCGCGAGAAGCATCGCTACGCCGATAAGTTGGACATGAAAGTGAAGCCACCCAGAGAGACTCTACTAACCGCGTTTCCTCCGGCCTTGGTTGGGTTTTACCAAAGCATGACGAACATGGCGCTGTATCGCGAGATCATCGCATCAGAGACCGAGCATCCTGGAGAGCCCTGGGTGTGGCATACCGAAGGGCGAGACGGACGGCACCCTACCAACTCGGGCGTCTTGGAGGGCGCGAACGTTGATGGAGAAAAGAAGGACGAGGTCAGTCAAGGAGAAGCGACCGTGTCGTTAGGGCCACGAACCGAGGGNCCACCCAGAGAGACTCTACTAACCGCGTTTCCTCCGGCCTTGGTTGGGTTTTACCAAAGCATGACGAACATGGCGCTGTATCGCGAGATCATCGCATCAGAGACCGAGCATCCTGGAGAGCCCTGGGTGTGGCATACCGAAGGGCGAGACGGACGGCACCCTACCAACTCGGGCGTCTTGGAGGGCGCGAACGTTGATGGAGAAAAGAAGGACGAGGTCAGTCAAGGAGAAGCGACCGTGTCGTTAGGGCCACGAACCGAGGGACAGGCCAGGCATATCGACAGCCTTAACCGCGACAGGCGATCCACGCATCGTAGGCTTCTAGTGATGTGTACGGTGGTGGTGAAGTCCATTTGGCGTGGTCGGCGCATGGGTTCGCACGACATCAAAGGGGCTCAGTGGGCAAAGTCTAAGGGTACGTGTCGTGATGTGATCAACTTTGTGGCGGAGCACAGTTTGTGGGCGAAGACGTCGCAAATCCAGCACCGACAAGATTTGCACGCGAGATTCGTAGAGGACAAGGACCTCCTGAGCCGGGACGCCGAGTGCGCCGCCGTTCCCCTGGACAGCTGTGATTTTGACCCGAGGGTCGAAGTTGGCCAGGGGGAGGGGCCTAATCTTCCCTTCATCGCTGCGACGGCCTTGACGGTAGGGCTCGACGTAGGTCGAATGGATGACTGGTGGTTGGTAAAGAGCCGGGGATCTCTTACGGTGGAAGACGTCCTTATGGGGCCGGAGCGGGACCGGGAGGACGGAGCACGGCGGTATAACGAGTTTTCGGCCGAACTCTACCGCGGCGTATTCGCTGAGGCGCGGAACAACTCCGACAGGGCTGCCTGCAGCAGACACATACTTCGAGTCTAAACTCCGCTAGGTAAGAAACCATTTTTTTACTTTCACCCTCCTTGCTTTCTGGGTTTTCCAGGACTTACCCCATCTGACTGAACGTATATACTACCCAATTATATATGGCGTTCGTCGATTCTGAGTCGCACCCTCCACACTATTCCTCGAACGCGAAGGCCATCACACCCGACTGCATATTGCCACAGCAACTGCGATACGCGTTCATCCAGAAGGGTTCCACCAAGCGTTTCATTGATATGAAGGGAGCCATCCAGCCCGTACAAGGTATCTGGTGTGGGACCCTGGCCGGCAAGGCTGGTGCACCATTCATACTCGGTGGGGACGAGGATGTTAGACTAGTCAGCCGTCTGCCGTCAGCGGCTGACTAGTCTAATGGTGAAACTTTATCTCACAGAAGATATGCTCATAGCTCATTTGCACCCGGCTGGATCACATTTTTGGGTTCGTGATTAGAGATCTCCGGGGACGGACCCCTCGCCAGACGCTGCTTGAGAAGAACTTTACGGTGCTTGGGAAAGTGAGCAGCCGGGATTCGAACCTGTGCGTGCATCCTTCAGCGGCAAGTGTTCATCCATTACACTAGTCAGCGCTGACTACACTAATGGTTTAACATTTGGCGATAAAGGATTCACGCACGGGTTCAAAAACCCGACTGGTCGCTTCCCAAGCACCATTAACTATGTCTGGCAGCGTTTGGCGAGGGGTCCGTCCCCGGAGATCTCTATTCACGAACCCCAAAATGTGATCCAGCCGGGTGCAAATGAGCTCTGAGCATATCTTTTGTAAAATAAAGTTACACCATTAGACAAGTCAGCGCTGACTAGTCTAATGGTGCAACTTTATCTTACAGAGGAATCATACAAGCCCATGTACCACGTCATGGCACAGGAGCCGCGCGAGTACCGACAAGTCCGTCGCTTCCCCGGCGATTGGCATGTGCTGTTTGTTGCAAGTGGCCAAGGCCATGCATTGGCGGTACTGGGGTGCTGGCGTGGAGTTCGTGGCGAAGGATTTGGGCACAGACGGGTCGAAGTCGGGGGAGGGGAGCAACTACCGTCGGGCCCACCACCACAAAACGGCGTTTTGGGCGGTGTTTATGGCTCTGTGTCGACAGGAATACTTGAAGAGTTTGCCGACGCCAGGTGACAGACCGGTGGAAGAGGGCAAGGTGGTCGACGGGGTAGTTCGGTGGATAGTGGCACGGGCGGAGTCTTACAAGACTTTCTCTGTGTGGAAGCAGTTCCTCCTCCTCGACTACCCTGCGTACATCGCCTTCCGAACTACCCTGCGTACGGGGAACTTAAGGCTAAGGCTTGAAGGCCTTCGCCGTATCGCCCCCATTTTTTCATCACCGGCAAAGACAAATACCGGTTCCTTGTGGTAGATCATCTGACGGAGGTGTCGCGTTATTCGCGCAATGATATGAGGGTCATATCCGAGCTATTCTCCGTCTCACTCGGCCCTGACACGTTTGCACGAATCGGCTTGGACGAGCGGCAGGAGGTGTCCAATCGTCTCTATAAGACATTGACGAAAAGGGTCCTTTCGAGCACGATAGAAAAGCTGGCACCGATTACCCAGCTGCGTGAAGTCGTCATCTTCGACTTCGAATCGCACTTGATCGAGAAACCACGCATGGAAAGGGACCGTTGCAGAGAGTTGGCGGTGAAACGTGCACCAGCAGTCAGGGCGGCGATAGACTGCTTGAGAGAGAGCCCGGCATTTGAAGGCGACGATGGCAAGNTTCGAGCACGATAGAAAAGCTGGCACCGATTACCCAGCTGCGTGAAGTCGTCATCTTCGACTTCGAATCGCACTTGATCGAGAAACCACGCATGGAAAGGGACCGTTGCAGAGAGTTGGCGGTGAAACGTGCACCAGCAGTCAGGGCGGCGATAGACTGCTTGAGAGAGAGCCCGGCATTTGAAGGCGACGATGGCAAGGACAAGGTCGTGGCGTTGGACGGGAGAGTGTTTCCGCCGGTCAAGTGGCAAGATATTCTCGACTCGTCCGCTAAGGCTCGTGCAAAAATGCGCGAGTGTGTCCTGTACTACGTCTTTTAGAAGAAAAAACTCAAGGGCGCGAAACTTAAGGGCGCCACCAAGGAGAAGATTTTATCCATCCCGGCTAGGAACAGCATCAACAAGGCCACGAAGAGTCAAGGGAGGTCGTCTGCGCTCAAGGATTCCGTTGGTAATCCCTACGCTGCGGAGCAACAGTGGAAGGCCCTCACGCTGAACATGTTCGATGCGGCCAGAGAAGGTCGGGGTGTGGTAGCGCAAGACCAGATGCTGGAAATGGTGGCGTCCATAGGAGCGGCCACGCCGTACAGCATGGCCAACGCGACGGGAGGTGAGGAAGAGAGCGTGCGAAATACAGGCTGTCATCTCGTGCTTTCGCTCCCAGCCGAAGCTCACCCACTTTCCATACCCGTGTTTCTGAGTGTTATTATCATAGTGCATACCACATCACATTGTGTTCACCCCCACCCCCCCATCCCCAAACACCCCTGTTGGAAATCTCGCCCGAAACGCATCAGGAGCCAAGANACGCCGTACAGCATGGCCAACGCGACGGGAGGTGAGGAAGAGAGCGTGCGAAATACAGGCTGTCATCTCGTGCTTTCGCTCCCAGCCGAAGCTCACCCACTTTCCATACCCGTGTTTCTGAGTGTTATTATCATAGTGCATACCACATCACATTGTGTTCACCCCCACCCCCCCATCCCCAAACACCCCTGTTGGAAATCTCGCCCGAAACGCATCAGGAGCCAAGAACGCCAACAAGGCGGCAGGTCCAGGGAAATGGGTCAGAGAGCATTGTGCCGATGGGTTCGCAGACGACCCGTTTTACGACGCCGACGCTCATGGCGTGGATCTTCCCGTGTCAATCCACCAAGGGGTGCACCCGGTATATCTCGAGAAGGGAACAGCGGGAATAATCGACTACTTCAACAGGCAGCTGTTGTCGAAGTGGCTGCAGTCAACCGAGCTACTCCTGGTGTGCTACGACCGACAGGAACTGGTGCCGGTAATCAAAGGACAAGGGCAGCTTGGGAGCACCGAGAAACTTGGTGAGAAACTTGGTGAGTGCTCTCGGACCTTCGACCCGAAGTCAACGGACCCTGTTCCTTCGTTACAGTATGAACCATGGCTTCGAGCCGATGGCAAGGCTGGGCGGGACGGAATCGCCGCCTACCTCGCCATGCGCTTGCTAGCTGATGAAGTCTGGACCGGCGACACCAAGCCGAACGGAATCGTCGCATTATATGGCGTCGGAGATGAGCCTGGTCTGAGTGCTGATCATCCAGCTGGTGTAGATGCGGAGGGCGTAGGCCTTGAGATGGGAGAGATAGGTGCCACGGAGGCTCTTTCCGGAACCGAACCACTCCTTCACTTTCGAAACGGAAACGACCCTAGCCCTGGCGTCAAGCGGCAGCGAGGGCCAGACATCGGCGAGGCGGAGCTCTCCGTGATACACTTCATCGTTTGGGCGAAGAAGAAATGGGGGAAATGCTTCGACAAGAGCNGCTGATGAAGTCTGGACCGGCGACACCAAGCCGAACGGAATCGTCGCATTATATGGCGTCGGAGATGAGCCTGGTCTGAGTGCTGATCATCCAGCTGGTGTAGATGCGGAGGGCGTAGGCCTTGAGATGGGAGAGATAGGTGCCACGGAGGCTCTTTCCGGAACCGAACCACTCCTTCACTTTCGAAACGGAAACGACCCTAGCCCTGGCGTCAAGCGGCAGCGAGGGCCAGACATCGGCGAGGCGGAGCTCTCCGTGATACACTTCATCGTTTGGGCGAAGAAGAAATGGGGGAAATGCTTCGACAAGAGCATCGTTTCATCGGTAGACACGGACCTATGGATGATCATTCTACTGGCGATGACCACTGGTTGGCTTCGGCCTCGTGGCGAGGGGGCGGTTGATATGACCGTCCAGAAGGTCGTGGGTGGCGAGACCAAGTTCCTGTGGATGAACAGAGTATTCGCCAGCATCTGCGAACTCCACGACGGAAGCGAGTCCGCGTGGCCGCTATTGACCTTCAGGGGCTGGATTCCCACGGACAACGACAAGGTCCGTCTGTTCGTCCTAACGTTCCTGTAGTCGGGCTGTGACTACCTCCCGGCAATTTCCGGGCTGCCGTTCGACAAGATGGGGCACTGGCCCTCAAGAGCGTGCGGACGGAGGGTTTGTTTGACAAGCCGCTGTTCTTCGAGGAGCAGGATGGCACGTGGGCCGTGCATGTCGACGAATGCGCGAAGCTTTTGGCGACCATGTTCTTGAACAAGGATGAAGTGCCGTTTGGCACTGCTCATTTGACTCCATCCCAGCTGATCGAAAGCGTTGACGGCGACATCGAGGGCTACGTGAACGTGATCCCCTACGCCATCCTCCAACTCTCCAAGAAGGAGACGACAGCCACCTGTCCTTTTTTTTTTCCTTGCGCAAGCAGGCGGAACGAGGTAACGCCATCTTCCGGTACTGGCAGAATGGCCTGAGGGAGACCATGCCGGCGACAGAGTTTGCCGGCAAAGGATGGAGCATCGACCCACGAGGAAAGGGGAGCGACGGCGACGAACTCACAAAGGAGAACTGCGTGCTTGACCTGTCCGAGTATTCTTACATCGCCCCTGACCGAAAGACGGTCACGCTTGCGTGTGGTTGCAATCCGGACACGGCCCTGTGCAACAGGTGCAGGCGCAAGAACAAGAAGTGCTCGCACGCTTGCGGCTGCAGAAAANGAGAACTGCGTGCTTGACCTGTCCGAGTATGTGCTTACATCGCCCCTGACCGAAAGACAGTCACGCTTGCGTGTGGTTGCAATCCGGCCACGGCCCTGTGCAACAGGTGCAGGTGCACGAACAAGAAGTGCTCGCTCGCTTGCGGCTGCAGAAATCGTTGCACCCCTACGGCGGGCGGCGCCGGCACCCGTGCGTGCAGGGGGGAGGTCTGCGTCACGGCCTACGGTGGGTGCTTCTCAAACTAGGCGGGTAGAGGGTACCTCCCGACCCCAACCACCCATCGAGAGTCGACCACGGCCATCCTACACATGTCACTCTTTGCCGCCTCTATGAGGCAGCAGGAATCGCATGGAGCGGAACAGAACCACGTGGAGGCGGGGACCCCCGAGTCGCCTGCGAGCAAGGACGTTTTCGCCGGCGAGGCCGCGGAACCTACGAGCGCAGAGTTAGAGGACCCCGAGGCGGACGAGAACGGCGACGGTTCGGTCGGTGCACTCGACGATTGGATCAAGTTGGATTCGAGCGAATCAGACTCCAGCGATGGGGAACCTGACGGGGTGAGCGAGAAGAGCGTCGACTGCAACTGGAGTGACGGAGACACAGATGATGGTGTTGCGGATCTCGTAACCGACGCCTGGAACTGAGATCGGGCTACTTCTTCAGGCAGGTACATAAAGAAGAAAAACATACCGCATATGACACAAGATAACACACCCCCTTGACCGATTTTCGAAGCTCGAATTTTCAACTGCCGGAACAGTCACAGCGCCGAAAACGGCGGCGTTGAAACCGTCTCGTCGCGAGCTTTTCGAAAATGTATCGTGTGGTTTATGTATCCTCTTTGTCGTGGAGTGGTCGAGCTTTGAAAATCGGTCCAGGGTGTGTGTTATCTGGTGTCATATACGGTATACACCGGTCGCGCCGGTGGTCTAGTGGGTAACCTCGCAGCCTGCTAAGGGTCAGGTCATTGGTTCGAGTGCCGGCAGGAGTGAGTTTTTTCTCACTAAATAAATCCTGGTCTAGGATGAAAGCGACGCGCTGCAAACTCGTTGTTAGTAAACCACAATCGACTTCGTAAGTCGCGAGGGAAGGGATTGCTGTACCCTTCTCGCGATAAAAATACCTCAGGCATGAAGCGCAGGAGGAGGTCCAGCCCCCCCCTCCTATGTGACCCCGGTTGGGTCGTCTAGCTAGTAGAAGTGGAGGATTGGGGCCAGAGGGGCAGACGACAGAATGCGATGATGGGAGAAAAGTATATATGTATATATATATATATCGTTCCTTGGGATTGGGATTGGGGATGTCGTGCCCGGCATTATTGCACGTCAAATCTTCACGTCGTACCGAAATATCGTGTGGTCTGATTTATTCTAACTCCATGTTTCAATGACACATTTTGCTCGTCTTTGTTGGTGGTTGAACAGGTCCGTCCGTGCTTCACTTCCCATCCGTCCACGAAATACGACGACCCCGGGGTACGAGGTATCAGACGGACGAACAACGCGCGCGTTTTATCCCCTGTATTTCCCTACCCAGTTGCGCAGTGAGGTGGACGGGGGGGATTATTTTTCGGTCGCGCTGGGTGCCCATTATTTTAGTGGCATAGTGTTTTGTTAGTCGCAAACTGCCTGAAAGGTACGGCGGTGCTGTGTGCGTTCCGGGCCTGCCTGTGTCGTTTGTATTGACTGTAAATAAGGTGTGTGTTGGTTCCTTCAGTTCGAGCATGATGTTGATAGGTGTGGGCAACCCGGGGGGAGCAGTCTTGTGTGCCGTGTTCGTGTGTAAGTATTTCCTCGCGTTTTCGACACACCCAATGCTCAGTGAGTAGTCTACAATGTATTCGTATGTGTAGTCTAGACTACATATTGATTGCCGACCGTGCCTGTCTGCGTGCAACGTCAGATAGCACAAGGTTATCAGTGATCAATTTCCCTGAGTGCCGCTGCCGTGATACGGTCGCTACTCCATCCTCTCATAGTTGTTTTCTCCGGGATTCCGGAGAGTTGTACTACTGCTGGGTGAGGGCCCCTAGTCAACGGGCACAAGTGTGTGCGGTGCAACACCGCAGCAGGAGAGGGGGGCACCTCAACAGCAGTTTCAGTTCAAATCTAGCTGACCCCATTCAAGAGTAGTACTCCACGTGTAGTACGTCTTGCAGCACCATTCTAAGTGCTGTACAACCGCAAGATCAGCAGCTACAGTTGAGGCCCGCACGTAAGAACCTCCTATTTTGAGCGAGGCTCAGTTCTTTTTGGCTGCCCCAACCCGACCACGTGTTCTTATTGGCCATGTTCTTATTTCGCCGTCCCATTTTTCTCAAGCGAAATGTCCTTGGCCCACTTTACGAATGTTGCTGTAGTGAACCTTGAGACGATCCTCTAAGTACTGAAGAGGCGTGTGCTCCTCGTCCTTCCAGAGGTCCGCGGCGTTGTCCTCGAGGATGCGCAGGTCGTTGACAGCATTGGCTTTGAACCTATAGACTAGTCGTATCGCCTGCGCTTGGGAGCTCCACGAGTTTCCTTGGTTTCGCGGTCCATAAAACCGTCGCTTTCCAAGTCTAGATCGAGAAAGCGCTTCCGCTGGAGGACAAACGAAGCCGCCCCCGTCGCATCATCGACCTTCACGTGCTAACAACGCCCAGGCCCGGCTTCTTCCCACGGCAGGACACGCCCTTCGAGATTCTTCCGTAGCATCTGCCGCAGCCGCACGCCGTTGGACACGTTTGCACTGCTGTGCTGCGTTCTCACGTGGATCCCAAGGCCTTGCTCGTTCACGAAGGTCATGGGACAGTGAGGGCAGGATCGGCGGGACTCCGGGGCCGGAGGCGGGAAGCTGATACCGGATACGAACTCTTTCACTCCACCACGAGTCCGCTCAATCTGCTCGGTGCGATGGGAAAGGGCGGAATTGCCGTGTAGGGGATTCAACGAGCCATGTGACGTGTCAGTCGCTCTTAGTTGAGGCGCTGTTGAATTCAAACTTCCGTGGATGCCGCTGGCAAAAGTATCTATGCACTCTGAACGAATACTGCCTTGAAAAGATTATCGTGAATCACACTCTCCCTTCTTCCCCTCGCTCCTCGACAAGCTTTTGCTTAGACATGGGTTGTAGCGAAGGGTGGGGTCTTTCTGGCGAGCAGGGCTAGACTCA